AGCCTGCTGCCTGGAACATAGTAGGATGGAAAAACAGTTGTTAAATAAAAAGAGGGAACATACATTGAGGATGAAATGACAACCTTCTCTTTTCCTTTATTACAGAGGTACCTACTGTAAATGAAAACAAGTATTCCCATGCCACACGGCAGGTTGATAAACTGCTTCCATATCTATGAACTGGTGTGCCCCTCACTACAACCCACAGGTAAGTTATTACTGTTGTCACTCCTGTTTTACAGATCACCAAGAGTATGCAACTTTCCAAAGGATGCATAGTTAATCAGTGATGAAACCAGGACTCAAACCTAGAATTCCAACGTAAAATATCTTCCCTCTCCACTCCATCCTGAGGCCTCCCTAAATGTAGCTGTGACTCCCAGCTAAATGGGTTTGCACAGAACCATGAAGTTGTGAACTTGAATATGGTAGTGACTTGCTTATTCATAACATTTATATCATAACTGTTGACTGACATTAGAGGACCTTGACTTGTTTCTGCCTGTTTCTCCTCTAGCCCAGCGAGAGAGAATTCTGCCACCCTCAACCCATGTTCAAAGAAAGTGTAATCATTCAAATATTTACAGTGAGACTCCAAATCCAAATAATAATACCGTAACTCAGCCTTCCTTTAAAAGCCTTTTCTTGATGGAATCGCCAATTTTCCTTTCAGACATGAAAAATAACACTGTTATGATAGTGACCTGGTGGTGCAGGGTGGTAGTGAGGAAGAGGGGAGATGTCACTAATAATATCGATTTCTAACCCTTTCTCTTGCTTTTGTTTGGAATCAAGCACAATGATGAACTATATGGCTCTCTACAGGAAGGATTCTCTTGACCAAAGCTTTCAGATTTGGGGAGAGAAGTTTCCTATGTCCAGATGCAATTTTTCCCCATTTTGCTGAAAAATGAACGAAATTTGGTAGAAAGAATGCTAAAGTTTCTCTCCTCTCCCTTAGCAACACCCACTTCGAGTGTGGACTCCAGAGAAAAACTTTGCTCTCACCTTCCAGCAAGAGTTATGGGCCCAGGAGAGCCCAAAGAAAACAGAAAAATCACTTTTCTGCCCATCGGGCGTTGTAATGACTTTTCTTCTTTTACTGCTGTGTATGTGTATCTACTCTTGTTTCTTCTTCTCATTGCCTTTGCTCTCACTGGTCCTCCTTTGAGTTACTCTCCCTGCCCTTGAACCCATCTTCCCTGTGCCTTCTCTGTGACCCACAAGCCTGCCACAAACTCTAGATCTAGACTCTGCGTGGCCTTCTCAGGAGCTGTTTTTGTCTTACATTCCAGCAGTCTCCATGTAGGGATAAAGCAGTATTACTATTTAATATTAAATTTGTTTAATAATAAATCTACTTCTTTATCCCTACACGGAGAATAAAAAAGCTGAAGCTTAACAAACACATTTTGGAGACTCTTCTGGCAGAAAATTGTCCAGAAATGTTGGACTGTAACATAAAATTTGATGCTTCAGAAAGAGTTATCCAGGTTGGGGGTGGGAAGGGATGCTGGATCTCCAACCTCTGCTGGGCGGCTCGGGTCATATTTTTCGAGCTTGGCAGGCAACACGCCTCGAGGATCACTAAGCCATGCCCCCCTCCCCCCCAGGGAAGGCAAAAGGGCCTCGTTTCACCCTGACTCCACTGAGCTCTCAGCGAACCCTCAAAAAAGTACTTCTGAAGTCATCTTGGTTTCCTCTTCTATAATGCAGTCAGGGGGCATTCCCTGCTTCTCTTTCACCTAATTGCCAAAAGGGATTTTTCCCTTTTGTGCTCTTTTCTATAAATTAGCCATATAGATTGGTCAAATTGATCTGTCCAGATTTCCCCCCAAAATTCCCTTCCCCTTTGCTGACAGTGACAGTCATGACCCTACGCTACTTTTGCATATGGCCCAGTCACCCACCCCACAACTGCCTCTCACCCAATCTACCCATGGCTGACTAACAGCAATTGCAGCAGAATGTACTGGGCCTGGGCTTGACTAAACTCTGGAGTGGACTCGAGAGAAATATAACCTCTCCCTCTACTAAGAGACAAACGTGTGTGAAGTCAGGAGAAAGACAGGAGAAGGAGTGTCCCACTGGCAGGAGGAGGAGCCCTGAGGGTTCAGAGAAGGGCCAGTTCAGGGATAGCAGGTGAGGGGCTGGGGGCAGGGAGGGTAGACAGCAAAGGGACAGCACAGGCTGGAAGGGAGGGACGAATGTGTGCACAGGGAAACAAACACTCATGGCCCGGCCTGACTTCGTGGGCTTCCAAACAAAATCTCATGGAAAAGATAATTGAAATGAAAATCGGAGCTTATTAAATTTCTGCAGGCCCAACCCAATTTCTCATAGTTCCCAGTCATGTGGATATATGCTAATTTCCTTGACAGCCTAAAATAAAGCTCTTAATGTGATTTGAGTCCCTTAGAGATTAGCACTATTATAAATATAAATGTTCAAACACAAGCAAGTTGAAACCAAATGCCTGCCCCCTAAACACTGGCTTTCAGTTAGATGAACGTTTTCCATTGAGCTCTTGGATACATAAGCTAGAAAACAGAGAGTTAAAAGGGCTCGTTGGCTAATTCTCAAGGCCAGGCTCCTTCACAGGAAGAAGCAAACTTAGTTGCTGCTCCGGACATATATAATCTGCAGTGGTTGGCAGGACAGTTTTGGATGGCAATCAGAGAAACACTAATTCAGAACTTCAAGTAGGGGCTTGGGTAGGGGACGCGGAAACACCGATCAAAACAGAAGGTCTTTACTCAACAGCCAACCTGCAGAACATCTCCTTCATGTTCTTACTGCTCTGTACAGCTTACAAGAGACTCACTAACAACTAGTTATAAATAGACATCAAGGAGTTTGTTTACCTAACTAAGAGAAAACAACGTTCGAGTTCTTTAGAAACACGCATTTGACACCACACCAATGAAACTGCTCTGGGAGCAGAACCCGAGCTCACCCCAGCCAGGCTGGTGTTTTGATGTGGTCATTATTCGCTCAGCAGAGCCTCTGTTTGGTAACACCTTGTTTGCCCAATTCTAGGTACTCAACAATTTTAAAAACATACCTATTTGAAGAAAATTCTAAAATGAAAGATTTTTTTCATTAATTCGTAACAAGCTTCCCCAAAGTTAGTCTCAAAGTGCCTGAGATTTGCCAGGACCATTCCTAAGTCAAGGAAAGGCAAAAAGACATTACATCAACCAAATATATTCTTGAATTTTTGTAATATTGGTGCACAAACTAGCCAACCAACATACCTAAGACTGCAACTCCTAAATGTTCTCACTACTGAATGATAAAGTGCCAAGTATCTCCAAGAGGCAAAACAGTAATATGTACGGTGCTTGTCCTCAGCACTTACTAGAGGTTCCTTTCTTTCTGGAAGATGGAATCACTCGGGTTTGGTGCAATTGTACGATAGCCGTTATAACAGCATGGTGAATTGGTCAGGTAACATAACACTTCACCATTTCTTCAATTTTAGTATTTTCTACCTATTTGGTAACTGCTCCTTCAGCAGAGATTACGAGAGGCTGGTATACCCACGCAACTTTCACTCTGATTTCAGGTGGTATCCAATTCGCTTCACAAATACCCACCCCCAGCCCACTCTCTCTCACCTGAGGAACTGTTTGACTCAGCTGTTGACTCTGCACCTCCACCTGTCACCTCCCCGGAATGCTCAAGTCTAACTCCAGCTAGTGGTGCCGGGAAGGAACACTACTAGCTGTGTCAGAGCCCTGGAGGAACTATCTGTTCTCTCCTTCCCTGCACTGCTAAAATCTAACTCATGTTAGAGGCGTTCTTCAACCTCTCTGAGCCTCCATTTCTTAATTCATGTTACAGGGAAAATAAAAAACTCTAGCTGTAGAGTCGCAGAGGATGAAATGACTCTGGGGAAGGGCCCGGCACAGGGAGTGGCATTCAGTCGTGGTGACTCTCTCTCGTCCCGTTCTTATTTTTTCACTGAACTGTCAGAGATCTCAATTTCCCTTTCCTGGGGATGCTCTTTATTTAAAAGGAGATTACAAGGAATGCATATATGAAAGGAGTAGTGTAAAACATCTGAAAGCTGGTAAAGCTCTTTGTGCAGAGTTTGTAATTTTAAATTTTAGGATCTTATTTCCTAACATCATTAGTCCAGGTAAGTTCTTAAAGAAAAGCATTCAAACTAGACTCAATACCTGTGAGCTTTCTGCCTGGGGAAGAGTTCTGGAGTCAACAGAAGTGATTTCTTAAAGACATCAGTGCAGAAAGGGCAGCTAAATTTTGGGCCTAATCAGGGTTGGTTTCCAACCCAACAGCAAGAGGCTCAGACCTTGTCCTCAGCCACACAGCTCCCACCTGGAATGCTCTATGAAGAATGCTCTGCGCAGAGCTGGCCACTCCAAAAAGCCCGTGCTGGCTCCAGAGGAGGGCAGACAGCTGAAATCGGGGAGGGAGCCTTTCACGAGACAATAATATTTAAAAATGGGGCATCACCCTGGAAAGGAGAGACCTGGATGTGAATGGTGGGTATATCCATGGACTCGTAATGTTATGGAAAGTATTAAAACCACCTATTCCATCACATACCTAAATCATTCTACTCTGGGGTACTTCTGTCAACCTGGAGTAGGTAGTTTGGGGAAAAAGACACAGGCAATACTGTTCTCCATTTAGATTTATGGAAATTGCTACCCCATTCGAGGTAGAGACCTCATGCCCTCCCTTGACCTCAGTTATAACCTTGTTATGGGGCCTTGAGGCTGATGCCTCTCCAATTTCTCAAGAGCCTCAAACCCTCGTTTGCTACCAATTAGATCTGCATACACATCAGGCACAGAAAACTCAGCGTACCCCAGAGGGAACTTTCTGAGCTTTCTCAAAATCTGCCCCTAAGGGTCCACCCAGCCCCCCTGACAGCAGCGTACAGCCTGGCTGGACACTCTTCTCTTCCCACTGCCACACTGCCACACCACCACCGTCATCCTCGACATCGCTTACAGAGGTCTCCTCTGTCCACCCCACTGCATCGCTCACCCAGACAATGGCAAGAAGCTCCGAAGTCACCTTCTGTCATCTTGCCGCATCCAACCCCCTCTGCACTACTCCCCTTAAGCCACAAAGCGATTGGGTCCCCCCTCTCCTTCAAATGCCCCAGTGGCTCCCGTTATCCCCGGCGAGCTGGCCTGGACCCAGGCCCCAGCCTCCCCTCTCCCCACACCTGCCTCGTGTGCCTTAAACTCACGTGACTACTGTCAGCCTGACACCTCGCACCTCCGGCTGAGCACGCGTGTCCTTGAGCTGGGAAGCCACTCTGCCTTTTGCTCTCAGACTCAGCTCAAACATCACCTCCTCTGAGAAGCCTTTCCTGACCAAGCCCCACCTCCGCAGCATGCCCTTTTCTTACTCTGCTGTTGAACTCCCTGCTACCTGTCCTCTGTCTCCTCCCCGAGGGCAGCGCCTGCATTTTATTCATCACTCTCGGTCCAGGTTCTAACACAGCGCAGGCTGTGTAAGTGTTTGTGGAATGAATGAATGAACGGATGGAAATTAAAACTCTTTAAACAGGTCCATAAAGGTGGTGTTACGCTCAAGGAAGAGGGACTCATTACATATTTTAAAGGAACCTCAGGACTTTCTGGGATTGGGATGGCAACTAGTGTGGGGCAGAGTCTAGGATGTCGAGTTAGGTCCCCAAGTTTACGGTATCACAGCTTTACCTCAGCCAAGGTATCTAACGTCTCCGAGCCGCAGCTTATTCATCCATGCAAATAAGAGGAGGATACAGCATCCGCACAAGGGCTAGGAGGGAATGTGCCAAGTGTCCGGCGAGGTTGGCACAGCGTCCTCCTTCCTCAGTTAACAGGACTGAACCAAACATAGACTCTGGGAAAGGAAAGGCACTGGCTGGGAGACAGGAGGGGCACAGCGGCACTCCTGGCCTCAAGGGGCAGACAGTCAACTTGAAGAGGCAGCGTATCTTCACTGGGAAAGGTGAGAAACGTACAGCAAGTCAACGATATCGGATGAGTCATGAGGCAGAACAGGCTCGATGCCAGGTTGGCGCGGGACGCGCCGTGCACTGGGTGGGGAGGGCAGGGGCGGGGGGTGAGCCTGGGGGAGAAGGAGGGCCCACCTGGGGACGCAGGCTATGGGGCCTGGGGTTGCAAGGGATGCCGCAGTGAAGAAACTGGGTTTGTTGCCTTTAGACTCGTCTGTTGCTCTCTGCTGCCCCCTGTTGGTGTGGAGCAGGAAGAGGAGGAGGGCGGGAGGAGGGTGCAGGTGAGAAGAGGCCCAGGAAGGAGGGAGAAATGTAGCAACTGGGAGCAGGTGCTGCAGGTGGGGAGAGAAGAGGAGGAGGGCTGCTTGGCCAGAGGTCTTGTGCTGAGCTGCGGGTCACCTTGAAACCTCCTCTCTTTTCTTTCCCTGGAATACCAGTCACACCCTGTCCTCCACCTATTTTCCTTTGTTGGTCAGAGGCTTATTCTCTGTCTCCCAAGACCCCCTCCCCGGCCAGCGTGAACCACTGGTGTGACCAATGTGAGGGGCACTTGGCATTCTTGGGACTTTTGGCACCCAAGCATTTCTTAAGGCCAGAAACTATTTTAGCTCTAAATACCTCCATTAATATGATGAGGTTTGTGGAGATGCAGAAAACAAAAAAACAAAACCAAAACGGCTGAGGGGGCATCAGACAGGGAGGGGCAAAGGGGTGAAGGAAGCAAGTGCTAACAGAAATCTTGTCCAGCAATAGACTGGAAGACAGTGGTGGCCAATTATCCCTTGGGAAAAAAAAGTTGCACATAACTTTTCCCATTTGCGTCAGCCCAGTGCTTTCAACTTACGAAGTGTTATTAAGCATTAGGACTTAGATCCATTGACATGTTGGGTCAGATAATCCTTTGTCGGGCAGGGGGAGGGCTGTTCTGTTCACTGCAGAATGTTGAACAGCATCCCTGGCCTCCACCCACTAAATGCCAGGAGAAAACCTTGTCTAGTTGTGACAACCAAAAATGTCCCCAGACCTTTTGACCAAATGTCCCCTGGGAGGCAAAATCACCCCGTTGAGAACCACTGCCTTACATTATTGTTAGGGGCTACCCAGACGCCCCACCCTGTACTTCCCCCGCCAACCTCACCCCCACCTGGGCAGTACGAGAACGCCACAAGCTGGCGTCCGCCTCCCCATCCACTTGATGTTCCCAGAAACAGCAAGAGAAGCTTCTTTCAGAAGCCCAGGAATCTCTTTCCAAGTCCAGACCTGTGGGGGGAGGGGGTCTGTCTCTTGCCGTGCTCAGAAACTGCAACCCAGTGGACTTCACGACTGCCCAGGGGGCTCCACACCCAAAGCCCTGATCCCCCAACTTCCTGGGCAACCAGAGATCCAGGTTGAAGTGCTTGCCCAGAAGCAGATCTTAGGTAAACCTTGGAGATCTTGTTTTCCTTTGCTGTCTGTTTTTCCCCCTCGTTTTCTCTTCCTTTTGCTCTCCCCTGAGCTTGCACAGAGTGAGTAGAAGCCACAGTACTACTCATGTGAGCAGGAATCTGGGTCCACCCTCCCTCAAATTTCAACAGCAAGTCCTGGAGATAAACAAGAAAGCCTTCACACAAATACACAATTAAGTTAATTGTGGGTCTGACAAATATTTTTTTCCTGAGGAATTAAGTACCCATTTAGGGTTAGGCCTCCACGCTGAGCCTCTGTCTGAAAAACAAGACTGCAAGAAGCTGATGGAATATGGTGAATGTTGTCAAAGTCCCTTATTTTTAAATCAAGGACAGTGCGTCCCAGAGGTGAAATTCCAGCCAGCGATGAAGCCAGGACCAGACACACGATTCCTTGTTCTGAGGGAAGTTACCTGACGCTCCGTCCCCCACACCCAGACAAGGATCAGGGATGTGCTGGTACCCGGGAGGGCGGTATGGAAGGGTGTCCTCGGAGCCTGAGTCACTGAGTATTTCTGTACCTGAAGAGATGACTTATTTCATGGAAACCCTTCACCTGGGGCTGTTCGTAAAACCACGCGCTCGAGGCAGCTGAAAAGAATCCCCTAAAGGGCACCCGTGCTTGCTCCCGTGACATTGTTTTCAGTGAAAATTAGCAATAGCTGTTTTCAGCTTTAACCTTAAACTCCAGCTGGCTTTATCTTCTCTCACTTATTATCATTGTATCGCAGTGCACCGTGTAAAGGTCACACCTGTGTTTACACGCCATACGCCGTCAAAATACCATGAAGAGAACACTATGTGGTCTCTATCAGAAGATCAAAAGAGGAGAGGCGAGAAGCAGGCCTTCCTCCTAAAGCAGGGCCATTCGGTCTTTCCCAAACTCCGCGCCGCCCGAGCACGGCTGCCGCCTCCGGGCTGCCCGCCTGGGCGGGGTGCGTGCTGTTTTATTGACGGAGAAACAAACACGGCTCAGCACCTGTCCGGTTTCAGGGTGACTAGGGAGTTTCCAATCTGGAAATGAGAACACTTTTACACTGTACCCAAACATTCTTTTTTCTTTTCTTCTCCCCCCACAAGCCAAAATTAGAACAAAAACAAACATACACAGGGCTCAATGGCGCAGGAAAAAGAAATTCAAAAGTTAAGACATTTCGTAAGAAAACCACTGAGTAGGTTGAAACTCACCTGGCCTAGAACCTTGGGATTCCTTTGACTGGGGAGGGGAAGAGGGTGCACCCCAGGGGCCTGGGAAGCCACTGTCTCCTTAGAAAGTTCCTCCTGGTTGCCCAAACTGTTGGGGGCGTGAGGAAGTCATAGGGAAAGTTGATGGAGAAGGAATTTTTCTTGTCTAACTTAGTGGTGCCTTGAGGTGCAATTAATAAGTAACTGCACAGAGCAAGTCTGCAGCGAAGACATTCAGCCCCCGACTCCCGCTGCCAGTGCAGAGATAACCTGATACTCTTCACCTGGCCGCCCAGCGACCTGACCCCTGCATGGACTTTGCTAATTAGCATAGTCCCTCACGGCCCAGCCTTGGGACTGGCAGTCACACACGACTCTCCTACACTCCAGTGTCAGTCTACACTGGGCCCTCAGAGAACCCCAGGTAGCCTGCCAGCCAGTGAGCAGTCCCCAGGGGCCACTGCCCACAGTGGACACAAACCCATGCTAGCCCCAGAATCCAATTCATCTTCAATACCGCATCTCCCGAAACCACGTGGGGAAAAAAAGCCTTTTCCTTTAAAATAATCTTCAATGAAGCCAGGCTATTACTGGAACTGATCATATATAATAACACCTAAAATGTCAATAGAAATGTACAGGGCTGCTTGTCTACTCACCATTCTAGGCAGCGATGAGTCATTAATTCATGTGAGATTTATCAGTTTACAAAAGATCCCAGATAAATTAATTATTTAGAATCATGTGAGTATAGATTTATGCTCTGGTTATCTACCGTGAAAAGCATTTTTATTGGGCTGTTCTCCCCAAAGCGCTACCATTCCGCCACCCTCCCACCCACCGCCGCCACCGCATGCCCTGCAGAGAGCTGGGAGAGTGCAAAGTACGCTGCAGCCCGGCCAGAGGTGGGGCCGGGTGTGCTGAGTGTCACCAAACATCACAAAAACACAACCGAAAGAGAACTATTCTGAAAGACTCATGTACCATAAAAGGGGAATTCCAGAAGCCTCTGATATTAGCAATTTGCCCCTCCATTCCCTTCCTCTCTGGTTTCAAGATGAGATGATGACAAAAAGACTGACTTGTCAGAAACAACACGAAACTCCATCTAGAAACGTGCAAACCGACATAGAACAACTTGTGGGAATTTCCACACCTGCTCTTCTGATGTGCCTCACATCAGAGAAGGAGAGAGAGGAGATAGGAAGGGACCTTCGCCTGCATCTGCCCCCATGAACACATATGCACCATCTCTGCTTTCTTACTTTAAAATGAACATCCCTGCATAGGGAGTACCTGTTTTATTTTTTTCCTGTTGGGCCCAAATAGTTTTTCCAAAGTACAAGTTCTGAGATGGATTTTTTAGAAGCAGAGATAGCTGGGAATTTTCTCTAAACTAGTACAAGAGTGGATGTTTCTCCTTTCACTTTCCATTTTTATGTATGCATGTAAGGCCAAAGGTGCTGGTTAATTTCGATAGAGTGTTTTGGAGAGGAGACACCCTCCACCCTGGCGGGTGAGTGAACATTTATGGGGCATTCACTTTTGACTGGCCTGAGACATTAGGTGGTGTGGGAGAGTTGCATTAAGGACATAGAAGTCAAAATCCAACAGAATAGGGAAATGAGCCAAACAAAAATGGACATATAGATACAAAAAAAAAAAAAACAAAACCACCCACACAAACACAGATGAATGTACATCACTGGCTGCAGTTTCTATCAGCTGAGCCAAATCTGCTCACCTTGCAAAGATTCTCCGTACAGTGGGGGCGGCCCACACGTGCACATTTCTTAGTTTCTGGTGGCCAGCTCTGATGTTTCTGAATTCCTTTGGGGCCATTGACATCATATCCACTTTTTATATTTTCCCAACTCAACCCACTTTCATGTCTTAAAATTATTCATTTTGGTATCATTTACATAACGGTAAAATGAATCCATCTTACGTGTACAGGCTGATGAATACTGACAAACGCACACACTGCTGTACCCGCTCTCCCCATCAAGACAGGGAGCTCTTCCACCCTCCCAGAAAGATCCCTCGAAGCCACTTTGTTTTTAAATTATTTGCATCTGAATGTTCTGAGTGGAGACTATCAAGCCGAATGTGTGGGAAGCAAGCCGAATCATTAATCATCTGCAAACACAGGTAGGAAAGGTTTTGAAGATGGTGCGTGAGCCTGCGCAGACCTGTCTGCGGGGATGGGTCCTGTTGGGAAACACCAAAGGGGCTTCTTAGGGACTGGCACGTGGGTCCCTCTCTGCAGTCCTGCTGGCATTTGATCATGTAACTGAGTGGGTTTCTTTTCTGGTTTTTTTTTTTTTTTCTTTAGGCATCAGGATTTATATGTTTAGAAAGAAGGAAGTTGAGGCTGCATAGTCAAATCTACCATATTCTCGTAGGAGCAAATGCTCCAATGCTCTCTGATTAGGAGGGTTCGACCACAGCTCAGAGTCCTCGCTTCCAAAATTCTGTTGCGACACTGAGAAAAGAGTTCACATGACCAGGCAAATTAAAAATTCTCTTGGCATTTCCTGTTTCCCAGATTTCAGAGAAGCCCTTCAGGGAATGTCTGGCAGAGGGTGGCACGTTCAGGATGAAGGAAAATGGTTACTTTTGGGTCCCCACCATCATCACCACATTCCCCAAGTCGCCACCTGGGCGCTGTGTTGGCCTCGTGGCCTGCCAAAGGGGAGGCAGGCAGGGGTGGGAGGAATCCCAAGGCCATATATGCTCCCTGCAGGGTGGGGAGAGGGTACCCCTGCTCCAGTGAGTCTGCACTCCTCACTGTCCCTTCTGCCAACATTTTTGCAATGGGACCAGTAGTGAAAGACCTGCTGCGGAGCAGGTGCCAGGCACCTCTCAACTTCTGGGCATTAGTTTCCCATAAAAGATTAAGATACTTCACAGACGTCTGAACTGTGTCTTCAAAGCAAAAACAAAATAAAACATGTCCCAAAATGTTATGCAGGAAGTAGTTTTTCTTTTTTTTTTAAATCACTTTTCCAAAATGGTACCCTGAGGTGATCCTTTCTTAAATCTCCCAGCAATCAAAACAATGCGGTTGAAAAGTTTACAACTTTCAACCCTTGAAAAGGTCACCTCCCTGCCTCACACCCTCACGTATTAAGAGCATAACGGATATTTTGAGTCACATGTATTGTTCTTTGTTCATTTGCATTTGGTGAAATCCCCCCTTTGGACCAATTTAGTAAGCAGTGCCTTGGGCTTCCTAGCTGATTGTTCTCTTAGCTTTTAGGTATTTTTTTTGTGTGTCAAAAAGTTTAGACTCCCAACCAATGAAATGAAGTCATGGCCTTCGTCATTTATGCTTTCCATCTCGCTTGGGATGGAATTCCTCCTCCTTTGCCCTGAACTAAGACCTTCAGGCTCTGTTGAAGTCCTCGTGCTCTAAGACACTGTGAGAGCCCTCTGTCCCTCAGCTCCTGCCCCTCTGACCTGCTGCTGAATTGACAGAGTTCTCCATAGTCCCGTCACAGGTGGGTTTGGTACCCACCGCTAGACTGTGTTATTGAAGGTCTTAAGAGTTCTGCTGCCATTTACAAAGTGGCACTGGAAGAGAAACACTTGCCAGATGGGAAATTTGTCCCAAGCAGCCACAGCCGCAGTGCAGGGGGAGGCTCTCCCACTCAGGGAGAGCCTCACCTGCAGACATGTTGCCCAACGAACAGTGCTCAGGCCCCAGGGCCCCTTGGTGCCGCCTAAAGCACTGTGCATCTCAGCTGTCATGGGCGGCCTGAGGGCTTTCAGAAGCCGCCTGCTCACTCTCCCACCTCTGTGTGTAAGCCGATCGTGCAGCTTTCAGAAACATATTTCTTTCTCTATGAGTAATTTAAAAATGACTCATCCTCAGCCTCACCAGCCGGGACATGTGACCTGCAGTGCTGCCTGAGTGTATCTATAGATGTGTAAACCAAAGCAGTTCTTAGAACACAGATTCCCCCTCCCACGTGCTGTTTATATCCTTCGCTTCACAGGGAGGCAGCCACGGCTGAGAGGAGTGGCCGGGACTGCCCGCTCTGCGCTCAAACCTGGGATGTGCCCCTCAGGGGAGACCAAGGACAGCACTCAGTGACAGAAAATAAAAGAGACAGGCAAAAGGCCCAGTATACTTATTTCGATATCAGTAGACCATCAGGAAGTTCTGAGAAAAACCCACAAAAATCTAATTTGATGAGGATCCATAGAAACAAAAAACTACTCTAAGTTCTGTCTCTTTCTGCCCCAGTAGAAATTTAGACCTAATGAAGTAGCAATGACACCCACACCGACTGAAACCCCACCTATGTGTCTTTATTTCTAAATCAGAAAAACGTCCCTGGGATCTGCTTGTGCTTTGTCTTGGTAACTCACAGACATGAAAATGTTTTTATTTCTCCAACTTGTCTTTATTCTTCCATCACCAGAGAGTGGTGTCAGGCCCTGCCCGGCGACACTGCTGTTGCAGGAAGGCACGCGGGTGACACAGCTGGCAGGCATTCTAGAGAGTGCTTCCTACCTCTTTCTCACTTCCTATTTTTATTAAACCAAAGCTGAACTCATTTGCCTGCTTCGTGAAGACCTTCATAATCTGGCCCCTCGTCTTATTTGCTAGCACTGTCTATGTCGTTGGCACAATTTATCCTTGGCTGCCACCAGGGTGGCCCCTCTGAGGAAGACACCAGAGCCTTCACCCTCCCAACCCATGCCTTTCTTCCACCTTTCTTCCACCCTTGCCCTACCTCCACCTTCCCGGAGCCCTCTTGTCATCATCACCCAACTCTTACTCCCATTCTTCCAGCTTAGCTCATCCCACCTGAAAACATTCCAGGAAACCTTCCTTACCTGCCCATTCACGCTGTCTCTACTGCCTACAGCTCCTAAATTCCCCGCATACTTCATGGCCTCTGCCCTCCAGTTTTATCTGCTACCTACTACATGACTCTTTATATTCTCCAATGCTTTTTGCCTGCAATATGGTTTGCTTGCAAGTTCTTTCAGGACAGGTATCACACATTTCACTCCCATGTGGCCCCACCGTGCCTAGCTCCACAGCAACAGGCAAACTGAGCTTCAGATTAAGAGAAATAACCTTTTATTTTTGCCCAAAAGGTATAATATGCAAGTTCTTACCAAACTTTTGGCCCTGTGTTAATTTTGACTGCATGTCACCTGGAAGATAAGCTTTACTTTTTATCCTAGGAGGAGGCTACATGGAGAGGAATACATGCATTGAATATTCAACAAAGTGACCAATGCAGGCACTGATAGGCATTTACGTAGCACTATGTGTAAACATTGATCCAAGCACCTAACAAATAACAATTCTTCTAAACTTCACATTGACACAAAAACACAGGCACTATTATTATCCCCACTTTACACACGAGAAGATTGAAGTATAGAAGGTAACTTGTCCAAAGTCACACATATAGAAAGTGGTTGAGCTGGATCTAAACTCAGGCAATCTAGCTCCAAGGGTCTGTGCTCTTGGTGGCTGTGCTATATCCCTGTTAACGGGGGGGTGTTTTTACATGGCTTCTTTCACTGCAGCAAAAAGGAGCCTGTCTTCCACACGAACACCTTGTCGCAGTTGTATATACTAAACCCGTCACCACGCAGGTCCAGTGTAAAGAAAACTGGTGGTGAGACGTAATCTTCCAGGGACACTTCAAAAAGAAGAATGGCAATATGGGACCTAAATAAATAGAGTTTTCTTTGAACTGTAAGGCGGTAAAATCTGCCAGTCTACTCTCAGGACCCTGCAAAATGGTACCACCCATCCACTCTCTATAGAAACACCAGATTTGAACTTCTGGACAATCTTCAGGTAGGCTCGCTGCAGACAAATATTACTACACACAAAACATAATCTTCCCAAATCCTGCATTTCTCAACATAAACTCAATAAAACCCAAATCATAGCTGCCATTAGATTTGTTTACTATGTTTTAAATATGATCTTGAGACCCACACATGGTACGCTTGAGAACTCCAGATTATGTACAAGAAGAAAACCTCATCCTGGTGGTCAAATCACGGCAGGAAATGATGCCACCGACAATTATTCATGTATTAGCAGTTGCTTAAGTACCATAAGGCTTTTAGGGGAAAACACTGGGAGGTAGTGGTTGGAAATGAAGCCCCATTATTAATGTAGTCAAGCTATTCAGCTGGATTCAATAAAATAAAAAGCCCTGCCCAGACCGATGTCTGTAGTAGAAGATGCTAAGAGCTGTTTTTCAAAAATCTGGTTTTATTGAATCCAGGCTTTATACACAGCATTCCTTTTTCCTGAATGGCTAAAAAATCATCCCATGCATTTGAAACCACTCAAGGAGAAACGGACTTAAGCCGTGTCAAGAAAGCACAGTTAGATTTAAGGGAAAGAACTTCATAGTGTTCAAGGTGATTGAAACCTTGCTAGCCCTGTGAATAGATTGTCCAGAAAGGCTGTGAAATCCTCTTCTGTTAATTCAGGTCAGGTTAGAAACCATGATTGGGAGCCTACTACGTGCCAGCCCGTATATGGTGCCCTGCAAGGCCCTGGGGACACCGAGAGGAACAAACACAACCCCTGCTCAGGAGGAATTTACAACCCGAGGGAGGGCTGACCAGCTCAGGGAGAAGTGTTTGGTTTGGATGAACACCACCTAGTGTAACCGTCAGTCTCTGGGTGTCTGTCCTTCTCCCTGGGCATGTTGCTATCCCTTTTCATGTCTCTGGCTCCATCTTCATTGTTCCCGGACTGTTTGTCCCCTTCTCCCAGGCCCCTAGCCGCAGACCTCCCCGGCCTGGGGAGCCGCAGGCATCTTCTGTGTTTATCCTCCAACCACATCCTTGGCCAACAGCTGTGCTGCCTCCACTGCCCTGCCCGGCGGCCTGACCGCGCTTGTCGGGGGTGCTGGAGAGACATCTCTGATCCCAAATCTCTCTCATGCTAACTGGCTGCACGACCTGGAAGGGAGCCAAGGAGAAGTTGACTCCTCTGGGTTAAGGCATCGGACGCTGGTGTTTTACATTCACCTGAGCAACTAACAGTTACCGAACACAAAGGGTCCAGGTACCGAGAGGGAGACAAAGAAGATCAGGCAAGACTCAGTCCTCAAGGACCTGATGAGCTGCAGAAAAGGGAAAAGAAAGATCTAAGCCAAGGGAACGTCCCGATAATAAACAAGCAATATGACAATGTTAGAAACAGAGATAACTCCGGGGTAGGGTCTATTTCAAGCAAACAAAGTTATTGCTGAACTCTGCCTTAGATGGGTAGTTCTTGTGCCAAATCACGTTGAAGCTGTGCTGCCCGCCTTAGAGCAAGTCCATTGTCTTTTTGTTCAACCGGGGTCCTCAATCCAGTATCAGTCACAGGCAGGGTTGCAGAGCCCAGGGGACACAAAGCCGGGACGCAAAGCCTGGCCTCGCAGCAGAAGGAGTGTTATAGATTGCCCAGTCCTGTGCCCAGAGAGAGGCAGTTAGCAGGGAAAACAGGGAAAGCAGCAGGTGCTAAGTAGAAAGACCAGACAGCACCAAGGGAGCGAGAAGGACATGCCATGGAAGAGGAGAAACTGGACTAGCCTTAGGGTAGGCTTGGGAGGATGAGGATTTGGATAGGGGAGGTCAGAGAGGGGCCATTCCAGATGATGTGAGCTGCCAGGAGCCCTCGAGGGGCAGAGAGGACCACGCACAGCCTGATTGGCAAACGAGGGCATGAACACAAGGTGCACGATGTCACCGGCAGGGAGGATGCTGGGCAGTTTGCCACACTAGCTCTCACTGGCCCAGACCACACAGTGACACTCTCTGTGTGCTAACAATGAACCCAGGGAAAGACATTTTTTGGAGACAAATGGTATGATGATGAATTGGTGTGTTCCTTAGCATGATGTTAAATAGAAGCAAGTATTAACAAATTCCTCCAACACCGGGCAGATTATATAATTGTACTGGCTTTGCGTATGACAGCTTACCGAGGGGAAATGGGGAATCATATAGATTAAGTTTGGGTGGGAAAACACCAATGACTGCAGTGTTAGGAATGGCGTACTCCTGAAAGGGACAGTATCACCTTATATGAGTTTTATTCTCACGCTGGTTGACTGACTTACCTCCCTTCCTCCCTCCTTTTTTCCTTCTATCCTTCCATCCACAGAGCATTTCCCAGGTGCTGGGCATCAGGCTAGATGCTGCGACCACACAGAAGGGTAAGACGCAATCCCTGCTCTAGGGCGCTCACGCTCCAGCCTGGAGACCAACAGCTAATGGGTTCTAATGTTGCAAATCACAAGGTGCTATAGCAGCAGAATGTGGAAAATGCCACGGGAGCACCATAAAACAAAAGGTGGCTTTTGTTTTGAACTGGTTCTAGAGGCTTCCTCTGCGTATAATTCTATAATAAATATGTCTCAGGGTTCAGCTGTTTCTCGCAGCTACCTCCTCGCTCTCTTTTTCCCTCTATCACCTATCACCTACCTCCCCACCTCTCTCCATCCATACATCCACCCAGCATCTATCTATCTAAAAACATTGTGAACACATAGCCTTCTTGAGACACGTTTCTCTTCTTGCTCCAGGGGAAGGCTGGATATCCAAGATCGTTTTGCCAAAGTGAAAGCTGATAAGGGAGATTTAGGGTTCCTCCTCTGGAGGCCTTTGAAAACAGGATTGTTCTCCTCTGGCTGGGACGGTTGGGTGGTCCTGCCTAAAGGCAGAGGGGCCTACTAGAGAACCTCTCACGAGTTTTCGTTCATCCTTGCATCCTCCATTCCTGAGAGCCTGTAAGTTTCCTTGGACCATGAGCAGCTGCTACCCTCAATACTGTATTGATACTGTAATAATACTGTATTTCTCGCCTCAGTGTTTGTCCCACGCAAATTTGAGTGGGACAAACACTGAGGTGAGAAACAGTGGCCCTGGAGGGCACATTTCTGCAGTCTCAGAGGTCACCACTGCTGCTGGCTGCGGTTCTACTAGGGACTGCCCACTCGGCACTGACAGTCACACCAGGCTACAGTCATCCATAACTGACATCAAGTGCCAAAAACCCATGAGGTGCTTGAACTCCGAATTTCGTTCCATAGCTAGCATTTTCTAATGCTTCTGATCTGTTTCCAATTGGAGGGAGATGAGGACTACTCCATTTATTGTTAAATTTGGCCTTTGCAGCAATAAATTTCCAAAGGTTCCCTATCTTCTGTAAGGTATGAAGTCCTCCCGGAATGCTAGGGCTCTCTAGAAGGGCTGCGTGTTGTGGGAGAGGAAAGGTAATCCGAGGGTGGTATCCGGAAACATTGCTTAACAACAGTTACTGCACTTTCCCTGCTGGAGCCCAAACCAAAGGGTTAGCCACCCTCAGCAACAACCTGGATGCTATGCATTTAGCAGGCTCAGCGGTCATCAGTCTTTATCTTGGGGTCTTATCTGTCTTTGATAAGAACTGTTTATTGGCCTAACAGCACTGAATAAATAGACCTTTAGGAGGCTCTGGTTTACTCTCCTGAAGTATCTTCTGATTCTTAAAGTCCAACAAGGGCTTCACAGGTACAGGTAGGCACCTGATAATCCCTGGTGACATTCATTCCTTAACTGATTCCATGGAGGGCTTCTTTTGGGCTGTCAGAAAAAGCCAGGCCTCATTTTCTAAACTAAATGCAAACAGAATAGTTTTTTTCCCTTTTGCATTTTCTTTACTGGATAGATACCAATGGCCACCCTCAAAGCAATTTTAAATTTTTATCTGTTGGGAAGAACAGAGATGATCCACTTATATTCTTGTAGACATTTTTTGATGTTTTCTTTGTAATTATAACAACTGAGCTAATGTAATCAATACCTACATGCTTTCTGTAATCACTGATCGGTATACAAGAGGAAGCCCCACATGGCAGCTAAGAGGACCAGCATGGGTTAATCCCAGCTCAGCCACTTATTATTGTGTGATCTTGAGCAAGCTGCTAACCATCTCTGAGCTTCAGTTTCTTCATCTGCAAAATGGGGCTAATGACAGTACCTACCTCATTAGGTTCTTGGGAGGATAAAATGAGTTGTTACATATAACATGCTTAAAACAGAAACTGGCACCTGGTAAGTACTCTTATAATGATGAATGAATAAATCATTGAATGGATCAACACCGAGCAGATGAGACAGCATCTAGGAACCTGGGTTTTAAATGGAGTAAAATAATACAGCAAAGAGCTTGGAATGGTGCCTAGTGCCTAGTAAGTGTTCAATGTTAGCAACTGATAACTTGGGGTACCTGGTCCCCTTTTTACTTTGAACTGTTTTTTATAACCTTGACTTAATCCTGCTCAAAGCTCAGTGGTACTACAATTACATTGCTTCTTTCTTTGGTGCTCAGAGGAAAAGCCAAGCCCCAACCCAGGTCAGAGGGAATCTCTTCTAACCATGTGAGAGGCAGAGTCACATTCTGATATAAGACCAGTAAGTCAAGTCTCATTTTGGAGTTCTTCTCCCATTTTATTGCCCTCTATAATTTCCCACACATCCTCTTTATATGTCCTTGAGTCTTCAAACTTTGGGGCCACTTACACCCTTTAAACCTTCATTCACTAGTACTTCTATTTTCACATCAGGAACATATGCACAAATGACAACATGAAATTAATCATGGGTGTATGAAATTAATCAGGCTAGTCATGGTGATCACTGTGCTAACAAATATGCAGGTCTCACATGGCTGCTGTGCTGGTTGGCTGTGCATTGGTACAAAGAGATTATACCAACTGCGTGCCTTCCTCCAAAGTCCTTAGAACAGGTGGAAGCCAATCTTTATTAGGCATTCTTAGCAAATAGACTTTTTGAGGAGATTGATTTATTTTTGAAAAACACTAGCAAATATTATAATTGAGTGTCTATGAAATTTCTCACCACATTATAATGTTAATGTTTCTTCTGTTTGAATTCAAAGTGAGCTTTTATAGAAGTCTAAAAGCCATGCTCTAAGCATTTTAAGCCATGTGCGATGTGTATCCATCATCTGACAATGGTCAGAGTTCACTGCTTACTTTTCAAGTTCAGTCCTCTGTCAGCTTAATGGATTAAGGGGAAAAACCACCCTAATTTCTAAGATCTGGCCTTTTAACCTTTTAGAAATGAAAGGTTAAATAGCCTGCTGATACATCTCATAGTGTCTACCTTGCAATTCTACTAGCACGTGTGAATGAGCCTGATTCACAGCTGGAGTTGGAGGTTAGAGATCCTGATAAATTCAGATAAAAGTATAAAAGAAAATGCTTAGCAACGTGGCCCAGCAGGGTTCAAAAGGCTTCCGAGAGCAAAGCACTTATAATCATGAGATGGAAGAGAAGTTACTGACAATAGCCAACAGATTGATCACGTCATTTATTCTCGCAAGAGTCTCGTTAGTGCTCTCACAAAACAGCATACAGCAACAGGTAAAGTAAAACCTAGAAGAAGTCGAGTCAACTAATAAGATTAGTATGTTCAAGTTATAGGAGATAAGAAATGTATATTAGATAGAATATCAAATTGTTTGTTGTATTCAGATTAGATTTAACTTGACATATAGTTGGGTTGTTACCTACCAGGCACAGATATTCTAACTGGCTTCCATGGTGCAAGCACGTTGGCTTCCAATGACACTTTCTAAAGATGGATGGAACACTTTACTAGGTAACATAAAGTCACACATACTTTCATTCATTCACTCACTTGCTGAATGAGTATTATTACTCACTCATAGTATTACTCCTCACTTATCTGGGCTTTTTGAGCAGAACATGCAAACATTAAACATTCCTGGACTGCCTGTCCTGATGAACTGCAAGATGTATCTTGCTTTTTAATCATATTACTATTTTCCCACTTGACTTGGGAGTCAAGAATCATGCTCTGAGAGTGGAATCAAAATATGATGCAAAGGGCTCCATTAAACAGCAATTCTGCTTGAAAAGTAAAAGCTTCTATGAAGTCACGAGGCAGAAGAGTCCTAGTGTACTTAACAGTCTCAACCAGTGTCATTCCTCTTCCAGATTACCTTTTATTCACTTGCATGATCTCTGCATTCTACTGACCACACAGATTCTATAAATATAATTAAAAACTAAAAAAAAAAAAGCATCCTACTGTTAACTTGAAATTGAAATACTCTTCATAAACAACAAAAAGCTTAGTCTAACATAAAATGTGACCAATTACTTTTTGTTTTTCCACAAGAATGCACATCAAAGATGAGAAAAAAAATTCTTTTCAGGATATATTTACCAGGCTCTTGTAAAATACACACAAGCCCCAAACACACCAACTCTACTGCTATTTTGGGTGTTATTGTGTTTTAAACCTGTTTGTTTCTTAGTTAAGCTAAAAATGTTTGCCCTGGGTGTTCTAGGGACTGTTACTAAAATAGAAATAAAAAATAAAATGACAGTTTTAGACAATGGTTACAGTCATCAACCTGGGCAAAGTACAGAAAATGGATGGAGGAAGTAGAATTTTAGGATCTGTGTAGTAGTTTTCCTATTTGGTTGCTCTAAGAATATGATGTGGAAAAAAAATTGCAAGAAAAAAAGTAGCATCTCCACCGCTACAAATGGAAATAAATTATGCCCTCATATGGAAATTAACAGCTCAGAAACAAATTGATATAGTTCCATATAATGGATTTTTCCTGTTATTATAGGCACCCTTACTATAATCTTAAAATTGTATAAATCTCTATTTGTTCCAGACTTTATTCCATTTGGTATATCTTGACTGACGAATTAGATAAACTTAGGGTATGCAATCATAAAGATAATATATTGAAATACGATATAATCGAATTTGACTGAAGTTCCTTTTAAGTGAGAAAAACTAAAAATTTCGTAGAAAGGCCCCCTCCCCTATGATAATTAGACTCCTCTATCAGGAGACCTATGGCTTTGAAATCCCAAATCCGGACAATTAGGCTAAGTTTCTTGTGTTCTGAAACTTTTCTGAGGAGAAGGTAAATAGCTTAAATTAATCGAATGGACCACACAAACTACATCATAATATACATTAATATGATCTATAATAACAATAACACATTATATAATTTTACTCATTAATTCTTAATAAATAAACTCTATGAAATAAGAACATTGATACCATTACAGATAAAAAACTGATGTCCTAGAAAACAATTTGTCCTGTAATGTCAGTTGTAGCATGGTCCATCCAGACACAGATCACCCTTTTCTAGTTAGCATTTCATTGATG